GTCTGGTCGATTTGACCAGTCAGGAACCTCCCAAATGAACCGGAAATAGAACTCTTTAAATGTCGGTACTTCCTAGTTCAAACCAGCTCCAGTCGAGTTGCGGTCGAGTGCAGTCGAGTTCAGTTCGGAGAGCAAGCCGAACTGAGAAGTGCTGGAGAGAACAGGAGTTCAGACATGATCCGGAGCTCTTCCGAGTCTTGTGGGAATTATGCAATCTTCCACATCTGAGTGGAACTTCTGAAGGACTCCACTAATGTGAGTCCACTCGTGAGGTGAACTGTTGTTGATGAAGTCCCGCCACCACTCCGGACGGTTCTCTGCCATCCTACGGAGACGCTGGATCGGTAGCGTTAACTGGAACTCCGTATCCGCTGATTCATCGTCAGAGAGGTAATGAGTCGAGTTTACTACCGAGCGTACCGAGGAAAGCTGGGTTCGAATGGAGGGTGCCGTTCTGTTCAACACTTTATCTCACACACCATCTCCCTCCCTCTAAACTTAATCTTTCCATCTTTAAACTCTTCTATCTGCTAGAAATCATTCCAGATATTTTCAGAAATGTCTGTTGTGAAGCAACGGAAAACCATCGCCGTATGGTTTTCTAATTGTACAGCTTGCTAATAACTAAGCCATGTTGTTATTTTCAATTTTGCCAAATTAATGTAAATGTTTGATGTTAAACTTTAATTCTGTAAATAAATGACCACATTCATTTGATGGGTCAAAGAAAATTAACGTCTCACGTTACATTTAATTAAATTCAATGCACGATATTATTCAGTCCAGAAAAATGAATGAATCCGTTTAATTTATGAATATATCTCAGTATATGTTCATCTACATACTAACAGTTCACCTCACGAGTGGACTCACATGAGTGGAGTCCTTCAGAAGTTCCACTCAGATGTGGAAGATTGCATAATTCCCACAAGACTCGGAAGAGCTCCGGATCATGTCTGAACTCCTCTCGTGAGGTGAACTGTTGTTGATGAAGTCCCGCCACCACTCCGGACGGTTCTCTGCCATCCTACGGAGACGCTGGACCGGTAGCGTTAACTGGAACTCCGTATCCGCTGATTCATCGTCAGAGAGGTAATGAGTCGAGTTTACTACCGAGCGTACCGAGGAAAGCTGGGTTCGAATGGAGGGTGCCGTTCTGTTCAACACTTTCCCTCTCACACCATCTCCCTCCCTCTAAACTTCATCTTTCCATCTTTAAACTCTTCTATCTGCTAGAAATCATTCCAGATATTTTTAGAAATGTCTGTTGTACAGTTTGAAATGGGGAAACCATGGCCGTATGGTTTCCTCCTTGTAAAACTAGCTAACTAAGCCATGTTGTTATTTTTCAATTTGCCAAATTAATGTAAATGTTTGATGTTAAACTTGATTCTGTTAATAAATGACCACATTCATTTGATGGGTCAAAGATAATTAACGTCTCACGTTACATTTAATTAAATTCAATGCACGATATTATTCAGTCCAGAAAAATGAATGAATCCGTTTAATTTATGAATATATCACAGAATATGTTCATCTACATACTAGGTAATCCCACAATGTTTTTTTGGTAATCCCATTGTGTTGATGGTAATTCCACAATGTTGTTGGTAATTCCATTGTAGCAATGCTTTAACCCCTTAGAAACCGAGTCTGTAATCCACTGGAAAAAGTCATATAATCCACAACGGTAAATCCACAACGAATGGAGGTGTTGATTGATCAGCATACAGAGGGGTTCCCTTGGATTGAACTGAAGATGCGGCCACTGGATGAAGAGTGGAGACCAACGTCAGGATTGCAGGTCTCCTCCAGCGAAGGTCGTCGCTGGGTGGATGTCCAGCCGATGCCGTTCTGGTTCAATGTGACATGCAATTATGTGGTTTAAGGTGGGCTTATGAAGGGGATTTTACATAAGGCCTTAACCTATATGCACCTGGTGTGTAAGCTATTATGATTGGGAACAGCTACAGCTACCAGTTAAGGGGTGGAACATGCTGAAAAGGGTAACTATAGGGGGTTTATACCTATAGAAGGGCATTCCAAACTATTTTTCCATTCCTAACTTGGTTTAAGTTAGCTTTACATGGCAAAATATAGTTTGGTTCAATTGTCTGTTGTCTTTTAGACGAACGACTTGAGATTGGGTGTTTGGTTTCCCCATAAATGTTTTGGAGGTCTATGGCGAGACTCATCAAAAAGAATTAGCTATCCCCCCGAATAGAATTGTTCGAGTAGGTTCGGCTTAAGCGTTGTGAGACCAATGTAGATTATGGTACTTAAGGTAGCATTACTCTACATTGACTCCGCAAAGATTACATTTTAACAAATGAACTGCATGTTGGCATAGTTAAAGGCCTCTTAGTCTCTAACTCAACTACACACAAAATTCATTCTTACTTGGGGTGTTCAGAAACAATACCAAAAACCAATTAAACGATGTCTCAACATCGACAAAAACAGTGACTAAGCAACCAGTAAAACAACGTTTCAACATTGACAAAAGCAGTGATTAAGCAACTAGAAAACGACGTTTCAGTGCGTCACTCACTCTGAATGTCAGATTTGATCACGTTATCGCGTCTTGTAACATTATCCTAACTGGCGTCACCCCCCTTCAGTCATGGGAGACCGCGAACACGGGTGAGGACGTCGCTCCATGAGCTAAAGTTAGGCTGTCCTTGAGTAGTTTTAACTGTTTGCGCAGCTGAAAGAGGACTTTAAGGTCTGGATTGGAATCCAGTTCGCCTTTCGATGGAGTGTATTTGTCTGGGTCAGTCAGATACAGTATCATCGAGTTAATTGCAGGATCATCCAACTTCTGAAGTTGGGTGATGTCTGGGTCAGTTGAAAATGACTTTTCATATTTTAAAAGAACTTGGCGAAGTTTGTCTCTTTCTTCATCAGATGTCAGCGCGTCGGCTTGGGCGACCACCTGATCAATCTGTGATGAGACTGATAAGGGTTCTTGCTCCGTGTGGAGCTCCAACGAATCCCTTTCTGAGTCGTCGGACCTGTCTATGGGTAAGACACCATAGGTTTGAGGCCCTTGGTCGACATCATCGGTTGAGAAAAGAGCTATGGCCTGTGTTGGTTTTGTGAACCATACTGGCCCAGCTTCTTGACTCGGTACCAGGTTGTCTGGGAGTCCTCCCAGAAATGGAATGCCTAGTTCAAAATCATGAAAATCAGTGGAAATCAACCATCCTAGCATAGTGTTTTTTGGGATCAGCACCTCATCCATGCCTGTGTTACACACAGCAATAGATGTGGTCCTGGAGTCAAGACTCACCTGGTTCGTGGCTTCCACGGACAGTCCCAAGTTGAAAAATGCAGGAGAAGGTTGAAAATATGCCTGTTTATGGCTAATAGCTTGTCCAGCTATGATGTGGATTCGCACCATTAGGTTAGTCACCTGAGGTGGTACTGTGGTGGTTTGGTTGCTAGCAACCTGGCAGGCCTCTGGAATGGTCTGCCCAGCCTTAAGTTTTGCTGTGTCTAGCACAGGAGGATCCTTTGTGGCTGGTATTGGTGACCACAGCACCTTGTTGATGGTGTCCACGTGGACACCCAACCTTACCAAAATGTCAGAGCCTATGTAGGTTGCATGTGGTAAGTTTTGGATCACGAGAAACGGGTGAACCAGTTCTCGTTGGTTCCAGTTCAGTTTTAGGTTAATGACTCCTTCTGCGGTCATTACCTGTGAACTATTGGGAACTAATGGAAAGCGGAAAGCTTTTTTAATCAGTTCTAGACCCACGTGTTTGTGAACCAAGGTTTCATAGAAAGCTCGGTTAATTGCTGATTTATCTGTCCACAGAGACAGAACAGCATCGTTGGTGTGGGATCCTTGGATCTCTACACCTTTAACTACCAGTGGTAGGTAGTGTTTGGTGGACTCTGACTGCTCCAGCTCACAGAGGAGGCTGTCTTGTTGGGTCAGAGTTTGGACCACCGGGTGGGTCTCTTTGGTTTCACATGACGTCAGAGGAGTACTCACTTCGAATGGAGGGTGCCGTTCTGTTCAACACTTTCCCTCACACACCATCTCGCTCCCTCTAAACTTCATCTCTCCATCTTTAAACTCTTCTATCTGCTAGAAATCATTCCAGATATTTTAGAAATGTCTGTTGTATAGCTTGAAGTGAGGAAAACCATCGCCGTATGGTTTTCTAATTGTACAGCTTGCTAACTAAGCCATGTTGTTATTTTCAATTTTGCCAAATTAATAAAAATGTTTGATGTTAAACTTGATTCTGTTAATAAATGACCACATTCATTTGATGGGTCAAAGATAACTAACGCCTCACGTTACATTTTTATTAAATTCAATGCACGATATTATTCAGTCCAGAAAAATGAATGAATCCGTTTAATTTATGAATATATCACAGAATATGTTCATCTACATACTGAATGATGGGTCAAAGAAAATTAACGTCTCACGTTACATTTAATTAAATTCAATGCACGATATTATTCAGTCCAGAAAAATGAATGAATCCGTTTAATTTATGAATATATCTCAGTATATGTTCATCTACATAGTGAATGTGTACAAACAAATTTGTCCATGTGTGTATATTTCTGGACAGCACAGAAAGTGGTTAGTGCTGTTGCCTCACAACAAGAAGGTTGCAGCCTGGGGCCTTTCTGGGTTGGAGTTTGCATGTTTGCCCCATACAATTATGGGGTTGCTCTTGGTACTCTGGTTTTGTCAGACAAACCAAATACATCCATGTTAGGTTAAAAGGCAAAACCTAATTGCCACTAATTGAGAGTGAGAGCATCAATGGTTGTTTTTCAGATTTGCTTCTTTGTGGGCATGTGATGGACCTGTGACCTGTCCAGGGTCCACACTGATTGCTGGCGGTAGACACCAGCTCACTCATGACCCAGAAAGGAAAAAGTGTTTAAAGAAAAAAAGATGGATGGACGTATATTTAGTCTTTTATTTCAGTATTTTTCTTGCCCTCCCATTCATCTTTATTTCTTACCCGAGCAATCTGATCTGCCATCTGTAATCGCCCATCCAGTTCTCTTCTGATCTGAGCCGCCTGCTCATCTGGGTTGTCCAGCTGGCAAAAAACAAAAGTGTTTTCTGTAAATTCATAATTATTCATACTTTATCATGATCAAATGATATTTGAAACATGCAGCAATTTGTTTTATATAAAAATTATTCAATATGCAAAAAGGAAGGTAAACTTCAAAATGGCACAGGCAATTTTTAGAAAAAATAAACAGAATATTCCACTTCACTACATTTACAGATGATTTGTTGATCATACTCTTTTAATGAAACAATTGGTCAGGTTTTACTGTATTCTACTTTCCTCCAGCAGTAAATATATTACCTGGCCAAAAAAAAAGTCGCCACCAAAAAAAAAAGTCACACACTAATATTTGTTGGACCACCTTTAGCTTTGATTACAGCATGCACTCACTGTGGAATTGAGCATGCATCAGGATATCACTGTGGAATTGTTTCGATAAGCTTCTGCAATGTCACAAGATCTATTTCCATCCAGTGTTGCATTCATTTTTCACCAAGATATCCTTATGCATGCTCAGTAATCCAGGTAGAAAAATCTAAAAAAGTTAAGTCTGGTCCTCTGGACATTCAAAACACAAAACAAAGCCAAAAAAAAAAAAGTTGAAACATTTCGTCTTTTGGCGTTTGCATGTTCTCTCCGTGCATGCGTGGGTTTTCTCCGGGTACTCCGGTTTCCTCCCACAGACCAAAAACATGCATGTTAGGCTGAATGGTAACTCTGAATTGTCCCTAGATGTGAGAGAGAGAGTGAATGTTTGTTTGTCTCGTTTGTCTCTATGTGTCCCTGTGATGGACTTGCAACCCGTCCAGGGTGTACCCCGCCCCTCGCACAGTGACCGCTGGACATGGGCACCAGCGACCCCCGTGACCCAAAAATGGAATAAGCGGGTAAAGATAATGGATGGATGGCATTTCGTCTTTCATCCAAAAGACCTCTTCAGGTGCTGCATTAAGCTGTATTGAGAGAAGTACGATGGCGCCTGTGCACATGGCTTGCAATCCACCTCCGCTAATGGTGTTCGGATTATTTTTGTTTTGTTCGTTTTTTTATCTGTGATATAAACTCACTACTGATGTATGACCGACAACAGCTTCTGGATCTTTGTTTTTCTGTCACCGATGTCGCTTATTTGGATCAATATGAGCATACCTCTGGACCCTCCCAATGACACGATCACAAACCACTGCATCGACCTCTCCGCTCTAACCCTGTCATTAAAACAAAGAGTCACTAACCTGGGAGTGATAATGGACCCTTCCCTGAAACTTAACAGTCATGTAAACGTGACTATTAACTCATGCTTCTTCCAACTGAGGCGGCTGTCTAAACTGAAGCCCATATTGTCCAAAAATAACCTGGAGACAGTAATACATGCATTCATTACATCTAGGCTTGATTACTGCAATTCACTCCTGTTTGGTATCAGTCAGACCTCCATTGCACGACTACAACTGGTCCAGAATGCAGCAGCCCCATTTTTAACCAGTACAGGCAAAAGAGAGCACATTACACCAGTTTTGGCCTCACTGAACTGGT